TACCACGCCCAGCTACGCGACCACGCAAGGGTAACATTCCATTCCCTCGAGCTAAGTACGGGACTGGAAAACTGGACCGAGAACTCCAGTTGGTGTTCATGGGTAACACACGGGGGAGAGAAATGCTGCGTGCCGCTGAGCAGTCTCTCGGAGATCGCCAAAGCACGCATGCTATGGGGAAAGGAACTTAGCTCGCTGGGGCGAAGGGAGGTGTGGTCAGTCGCGCACATGTACATCGCTACATGAATAATGCATACAGTAGCGCGCGTGGTATTGCATCATGCGCTGTGCTTGGTAAGAGACCCTGGGAATAAAAGTGCAAGTTGGCAATTTACGATAAATGGGTAAAATACAGGAACAATAAAAGACAACCAGAAGATTGTGTACTTCATGGACAGAGTGAATCCAGAGGGCGCTAGATTTCCATAATCAAGCATTCTGGGTTCGTAACACTACCATACTGGTGTATGGCTATGTTGTCCATGCACTTACTGAAGAATGAATATGCAAACGATTAAGCCAGCCAAAGATAACTTGATTTGTAATTGAAGTCCGACCTAGAGAGAGAAAAAGCAAAATGTGTGTTGTCTGTCAATTTGTTCACTTTGAAATGTAGGTGCTATATGAAATGTCAGTGGCAGTCAACTGTGATGAAGCCAAGAAACCTGTCTGCAAAAACAAGAACAGATTCCCCAATGTACTTCCATGTACAGGTAAGTTCATTTTGTAGAAGTTAGTATACTTTCAAATAGACCGTTAAGCTGAAAAGTGGCCTCTTGAGGCAAACACTTGATAGCACACTCACACTGCATTGTGAATTGCTCTTAATTGTAGGGGGATGGGGGCTAAGGTCTCTATGGAATATCTCCTTGCACAGCAAGGGTCTATGATATCCAAGAAATTCGGCGATTGTTAATCAAAACAAGACTGTGTCTTGACCTCGAGACCGTTCAGCGGGCGCCTTCTATGTCGGGTCTTTGGTAACCTTTTGTCATGTACATCTAATGAAACCTAGAGACAACATCCATTATGCTTTTACATTGTGAATTGTGTCAGCGAAAATAGGCTGTGTCACACGGCCTGTTACGATATGTTACGTGATGCGCGAGTGTGACCTTAAATCATCATCACATCATATTATAATGAGAATGCCGTCTGGCACATTCACGTCTCTCCCACGTCTCGCCCACAATGAGCATTCGCGTATGCTAACAGTTTTGAAAGCCAATGTCGGGTTTTATTGGATCTCTATGTCCATTGGTGTATTACAAAAACATGGCATCAAAATTGACCAATGAACAGCTTCGTCCAGATTTCAGAATGAAATGATGTCATGTCGATTCAAATTGGCTGGCGCACGGGGTCGCTTACATTTGCATGCTTAGATATATCAGACGTTGGTCCAGAGACAGAGAGGGTGATACAATGGGTGATACTCAGACTAGTGTTAAGGCTTCATTCCTACAAAACCATTTGTATTTCAATTTATTCAGAAAAGAGTGGGCTGCAACATTAGGCAATTAAAGGGGGTTAATACCATTCAAACCTTTTTATTGGTTCGTAACTAGTTTTAATTGTAAATGTGTAAGGGACTGTTAAACCTGATATGATGTTAGAATTCCATATTTTTGTGTACCTTTCAATGGTGTATCTATGCACACAACAAATGTATACCTTCCTTGCCCCCCCCCCCCCCATGTTGTGATTTTTCCCTTGGTTGCTAAGGTGCCAACAAATTTTGATCATTCATGTGTCACTTTTTCGCTTATGATTGCTAAACATTTTAAGTTTTCACAGGGTAATAAAATACTGAATATAAAACCCCATGAGGCGATCTTTAACATACAAAAGATTTCTTTTTACTACATTTGTTTTGTTTTGATCAAAAAGAGAAATTTTCAAAGCTGACTAAACAGTCTTGTTGTAGTGTTTAATTTTTTTGCTCGCGATACGTGGTACTAGACCTCAACAAGCCTGACTAATTTTCTAACATCATAGTTACATTCTCAATATATTTTGAGAGCATGTCGACAATATTCAAATGCGGTCAATCGGCAGAGAAAATATGTTCACAAATCTGATTACTTGATAATCCCTTCTACCATTATGTACAAGTATGAATATTGGAGAAACCACTGATGTTATTTTTTTGTCTAAAACAAAATGGTCCTAAATGTAAACAAACGACATCTAAGAAAAACGGTTGTTTCATGAAATCATTGTTGCTATGTTCTAAGAAAACGTTTTTACAAATGTTTTCGACAAAATATACAGTGAATGAACTAACTAGTGATACAATAACAACGGCTTCCAAATTAAGTGGTCTATAAATGATAAAATAAAAGATATCTTTTTGAGTCGCATCATCGGTGTAAAATAGGCATCCCTCATAATGTATGCAAATAACACTAGGAGCAGAGTTGTAACATGCCCATAAGTGGAAATGCTGCTGAAACGTATATGAGATGCTGATTGGTAAAATAACAGACTTTGGATCTTTGCTGAAATGCCATTGTTGTCATGGATGCTGCGTTCTCTTGAAGAGATATTCTTTAATTATAGTAAATGCTTATTGCTTCATTTAGACTACTTGGTCTATCAGCATTTAGCAAACTAATACTCATTCAAAGAAGCAAAAGCCTCAATCATTTAATGATTTATGGAATAAACTAAACTATTATTGTAATGGTACAGAACCTCTCACAAGTAGGTCATTCTATACATTTAGGGTCCAAAGTCGGACATTTCTTTTGTCCCTGTAACCTCTGACATGTATTATTTGCCATTCAAGTGGCATTAAAAATGACTTCAAACTTATTAATATTTGTTGGGTAGGTCATTTGATTCACAGAAGCATTCTTGGAGGAAGAGTACACACATAAAGGAGTACATCTTCTATTGCAAAATCGTAGATGTCAGAGTATAGGGACAGGAAAAACTGGACCCCAAATTCATAGAATGTTCCAAATGCATCTTGAATTGTAGTATTTAAAAACTCCATTTTTAAGAAAGGCATACAAACAAGATTTCAATTTACAAATTTACATCCATCATACTAACCACATTTACAAACATCCATGTATCATTGCAGTAGAATGCACAAGGTATTCGTTTTCAACTTGACTTGGTTCTAAATGTAATGAAACTAAGATCAATTTAAAGCACTGTGAAAGAGACAACCATGGGATTGTATATTATTTACTTTTAAACTATCGCTTTAGTTCAAAATCACACATATTTCTTTTAAGAAAATATTTACATTTTATACAGGAGCAGGGTTAGGCCACACAAAAAAAGTCAGTCTCTTGTCTGCGCGCGCGTCGATTTTAATCATGCGCGTCAACCTTTTTTTCCCTCAAATTGTCCGCGGTAGCTACAGCAGCGCCCTCTATTGCCGCATCTCCTCACATTTTTGTACCAAGGCAAATGATGGAGGGCACCAAGGCAAATTATGGAGGTCCCCAATGTATATGAGGACACAACAAAAGCAAATTAGTACCCACCTTGTCTGTACAATCCAAGCTTCCAAAAAAAAAAAGCCGCGTCGCCGCATCAATTCCGGAACTTTGGTCCGACCAGAGACCGAATTTTTTTTTTGGGCCTTATATCTTATACTTGGAAAACACATCATGCATTGACTTTGCATTTGCTGAGATGAATCTGAGAAAATTGAATTGCCCTCTAGTGGTGATACTTTCCCTCTCCTTTGTAATTTTTTTTTTTTTATTTTCTGCGCTATTTGCAAACAATGTGAAGGGTCATTCCTTTGCTCTCATTATTGGGCCACCAGATCTAAGATTTTATAGTAAGTAGGCTGGGTGTTAAATTCCAAGATTTTCCAAAAGGGAAGTTGTTGAGGTATTAGAGTCAACACATACAGAGACCAAAGATGTTAGAAATAAACCAAATACATGTACACAGTATTGTAGAATGTTATTTGAGGGAATGAACTTTGAAGTTCTTTTTTTCAGTGATAACAATGTTCAATGGCTGATGGAAGTGGTAGAATTAATCTGTCCTCACAATCAGTGATAGACCTGTACAGACTGTCCTGCAGCCACAACCAGATCACAATCCGATGTGAATGTGATGCCACATGGAGGAGCACATCCCTTGATCACACATCCAAGGTACTTGCCATCAGGACTGTAATGCAGAATGTCACTTCGTGTTTGTCCATACACAGCAACATAGATGCTGCCATCACTGTCACAGCACACACCATTAGGGCCCCCATGCCCCTGCATGTTGCTGGTCATGTCAACTGAGAATACACTGTCGCCATAGTAGTCTACACAAACCAACCTTTTGTTCTGAAATGTTGTGTAGAGAAGGCGGTGATTGTACATTGCCAGATAATCTCCAATCGTAGGAGCAGGCAGTCTCCTGATGAGGGATCCATCTGGGTTGTGTAGAAGTATCTCATTCTGGCCTTTGTAACCCACTGCTATCAGATTGCTGTCATCCACTGCAAGGCATGTTGGTTTGCTGTCTGACCCTCCACCTGGTGTGAACTGATGGAGGAGCTGATGTTGCTTGTTGATAACCTTGACTACTGGACCATCTAGAACAAGGAGCTCGTCATCCTTGCTCACTGCCATACACTTTACATCAGTGAGGCCATTGATTTGTAGCCTTTGTGGGATAGGAGGTGGTGCATGTGGGCTGTTGGTCAGTGATACTGTGAATAATTCTTTATTCAAATTGTCAAGTACAAGAATTTTATTGTTAAAGAGTGCTGCAACAAGTGATATGAATTTCTGTCTCAAGTTCTTGACTTGAGTCTTCAGTTCCAATTTCTCCTTCGCACATGATCTTGCAGGTCTTGGTGGTTGCTGTTCTGCAGCCTTTGGCTCTTCCTCCAGAATGAGTCTCCCAAGTGACCTCTCACCTTCTTCAAAGTCCATGAAGGTCAACTTGTCAGGAACTTGCTCTGGCTGTTTCCCTGTCAATTCACTGAGGTTATGCAAGAGCTTCTGCTGAAGTTCCAGAATCTCATAGCAACTTGCTTGATTCATGAGTTGTTTCACCTCCTCCAGCTTGTGCTCTGTCTGTGTCACCTCTTTCCTGTTGGTTGCTTGAGCAGCTTCAAGAGCTTTGATTTTGTCTTTATAAATCATGTCTGTTTCTTTCAACAATTTCTGTTCTTCCTTTTGGATTTTTGCAATCTCCTTCTGTATCTTTGCAACCTCCTGTTGGAGCTTCATAATCTGCTGTTGAGGCTTTTGGGAGATTTTCTTTTGAGTGTTGGCAAACATGGTGTCCAGCTCTTTGCGAGATTTGCTCATCTCTTCTATAGTGGTGCTCAATTCTGCTTTTCTTCTCTCACTTTTTTGGACCATTTCTGTGACCTTCTTCTTACATTCCTCTACTGCCTCAGGTAAACCAGTGAGTGAGTGTTTTGAATGATCAAGTACAGAGCAAGTTGTGCATATGACTTGCTCACATGAGTTGCAGTAGACATTGAGATTCTGATCTGGGTGCTTGCAACACTTGGGAACTTCTGCTCTTAGTTTACTCTTGTAGACAATCTCTCCTGATTGAAGTTGAGCCAGTGTGTAGAGTTTGTGAGATTTCATGGCAGTCATTCGTCCATGTGCCTTTTGACATTCTTGGCAGAGGAAATGATCACAGTCCATGCATCTTGAAATACCCTGATTCTCCTCATCACAGGCTTGACATTTGATGTCTGACCCTTGACCTTCCAGTAGCTTTTCCTGCATTGTAACTTCCTCCACCAGGGCACTGAATGAAAAGTTATTAGGGAGATCAGCAACCCCGGACCCTTTTAACATGGTTTCACGTCTGCACAGAGGACATGTCAGCTTTGTACCACTAGGATCTTGGCTCTGTATGAGCTCTTGGAGGCATTGCAGGCAAAAACTATGCAAACAGTCCAGCAGTTTGGGCTGCCTGAAACGGTTGGTGCAGATGTAGCATTCCAGATGATCCACACTGATCTTCTCCAACACTGATTGGGCTGTAACATTTGATGCCATCTCCACTTGATGTGAAATGAGAGACCTTTAATCTACAAATGAAGCACATTAAGTAAAATGTTTGTAGTTACATATATTTGAACTTAAAATGATAATTTGGTTGAAATAAGTTAGATGCAAAGTTGAAATTTTTTTGTCAAGTAGAGTATTCATAAAATTGAAGGTTTATTACATGCTTGATTCAAACTTGATGTTATATTTTTTTCCAGAAGAAAATAGCAATTAGTGACAACAAAATGTGTAACTTGTGGTCATTTTTATGGGGGGGGGGGGGTGTTAAACATTTCTTAAAAAGAAATGTTTAACCCCCCCCCCATAAAAATTCTCCCATACGTGGTGGGGGGGGGGGGGCTGGTATCATCTTACGATGGGGGCGCTGTTCAAAACCAACGAGGTTGCACACTAACGGACAACATATAGCACTTTTTAGGGCAATACACGTGCTAAATTAAAAAAGATAAAAGGCACTCGTAAAGGCCCCTGGCACACAAAATGCCTGACTTTTTGTCAAACGGGCACTTGTTAACAAAATAAAGGCACTCTTCACAATTATTGGGGGGGGGGGTAAGCGCTGGTGAAAAAAAAGGGCATTTCAATGGAAAAGGCAGTCAATACAAAATATTTTTTGGGGAGGGGGAATTAATAACACCCTTACTAATCCCCCTTCCCTGTTGGCTATGCCCATGTGTAATATGGTTACCTTTTTAATGTAAGAATGTATTTTTTCCTGAAAATTTTGTGCAATCATGGACAATATGTGGCACTTTTTTGGGTGGCACAATTGCTGACAGTCGCATGAAATTCCAAACAGCTAGGCACTCTTAAAAGGCCGCTGGTAACAAAAGGGCACTCTGGTTTAACAAAAGGGCACTTGTTTTAAAATAGGCCAGTCTTACTGTTTAATACTCAGGTGGGACTCGAACCCAGTACCTCCTGTTTAGTGCAGACGTCTTATCACTCCACCTCTGAACTTGCCCGGATCAGCTGGGTGGTTTGAATCGGGGTGGGCATTAGTCTGCAACCAAATATTGTCTGCACCGAAAAAAAAACATTTTATAAGTTCTTTAACTGGCCCATATTTCAATTGTAGACTTGTCAAAAAAGTCCACTTTTCTGCAAGAAAAGTGCACTAATTTAAAAAAAAAAAGGCTTACCTTCAAATTGGAATATTTTTTGTTGTTTTATTATTATTTTGTGATTTACTAAGCTACACTTGTGCCAAATCTTCTTAAAGGTCTAACACTTATTTTGTAAGAGACAACATGTAAGTACAAACAATGCACGTCACTTATTTCTGTCATGAATGCAAGGAGATTCATGTAATCCACATGTCTGTATTCTAACAGGTTTGACGGATCCACCTGAATTTCCAGTAAATACATGTAGGTATACACTTGTAATTGGCAAATACTGAGTTTACATGTACATGACATATGAGATAATGTGATGCTGCTGATTTATATCAAATGTACAGACAGACTTACAGGTAGACCCACCAAATCAAAATCTTACCTTCAGGTACATATGAAATGAGCCACTGCTATCTGCCCATTCTGGTGTAATTTACGGCAATGGTTGAAATGAACAAAGATGGCGATCTACTGTATGTATACGCCCCTCTGTATCAACACGGACCATGTCACCTGATTTTGAGTACACTCATTGGCAGTCCCTGGTTCCACTTATGTAGCGCTTTGGTACGTGCTCATAGTAAAATCAAATGCAGTGTTTTATATCAAATGGATTCATAGGTGTTGGGCTGGTAATATTTGCAGTACCAGTACCCAAATTCCGATAACATAGCACTGTGGTACGTGCTCATAGTAAAATCAAATGCAGTGTTTTATATCAAATGGATCCAAAGGTTCTGGGCTGGTAATATATGCAGTCCCCAGATTCCACTTATGTAGAGCTTTGGTACGTGCTCATAGTGAAATCAAATACAGCCTGCTGACTGTGTTTTACATCTAATGGATCCAAGAGTCTAGAGCTTGTAATTAGCAAGATTACCGACAAATTTATCAGAAAGGTAAACATAAAGAAGCCACAGGGTCAACTACCTGATGCAGTTATTCTGAGCTGACTCTTATTGCAGATGACACCTGTTTTAATATCCTTTGATATGTTTCCAGTCAGGATACTCACACAGGTGTCTATCGCTTGTGGAATTTCCAGATTCTCAAAAGTAGGAGGAGGGGCATATCTTGAACAGAGTTAATGCGAGCACAAAGCCCTAACAGCATGGGGTCTAGAGCCCGATTAAGGGTCCTGAAAAATGTTGTATTCTAGATGCTCTGTGGTGTGATCTGAGGCAATTTATGACCACTTCAAATTGTTGTGAGCAAAATAATCATCTATTTTTGAGTTTGGAGTCATCAGTTATTGTGAGCTATAAAATCATTATGTTGGCAACAATTTTAATTCGGAGGCTAAAAAAGTGGGGGGGGGGGACCCAAACGATATGATATCCCCCGACTTTAAAAAAGTTGGGAGGGGGGACTTGTCCCGCCATCCCCCACCGATGGACGCCCATGGATACTCAAGCCTGTTGTGTAGAACAAAAATAAACAAAAATAAAGAGGTAAAAAATGAACTGACAGTAATTAGTTTTGGAACGTACTTTTGTTTTGTTGTCGGTTTTATTTTCCTTCACTTTCTTTATATTTATCAACATTTTGTAGCTAGTGTGCGGTTGGTGTTTTACACACAAAAAATATAGCATTCAACAGCACTACGCTTGCATAGTTCATTTAAATAATATTCATCATAACAAAACTTATTTCTTTCAGTGATTCAGCTTCAGCAGCGCTTTGTTACAAAATTTCCAAAACTCACATTTTTAAAGCTTTCTCTTCTATTGCATCCCAGTTCAGTTCATTCAGCACTAATTTTGAATATTCATTCATCTTTTGTGCCTTCCATAGGCTGATTGGTCCATTGCTGAGATGAATGCTGAGATTTGGGAGAGCCACGCCTACCTCTACACGTCATAGACTGATGAACAGGTACATGTATGTTCAGCAATAATGTGGTGTCAGTCTATTTGAAATCAGTAAATGGGTGCTCAAAACAGGGGGGCTAAAAATCAGTTTCTTTTTAGTTTCATTATTTAAAGAACTCATTGAAAACCATTATTTTCCTTTCTGAACACATGAACACAGACATATTTTCTCAAGCCCAAAATCTTAAAAATATCATTCCACTCACAAAACACTGTCACATGTCGGACATCTGGCAAAATGTATTGGTGATTATGAGGTTTCAGTCTGCGTACAATTTTTTTGATGCAATCCGTTGTCACAACTGATGCTTGTTGATGATGCCATGCACTCCAGATTGAATGTGGTCCCTGTACAAGATCTCTATATGAAGTCACCAAGGAGGAGGATTTTATCCAAAAGAGGAATGACGAAGAGATTCTGATCCAGGAGAATGGAAAATGAGTCCTTGGCATTTTCAGCAGCAGCATTCGAACAGCGTGATATATGGGCAAAATTGTTTACAAAAATAAACACGGGTGACTATTTTTGCAGTATTTTATTAGTAAAATTTGATGTTGTATTCTCCCCCTCCCTTCTCTCCCAGGTCCCAGGCCCATGGGGACGACAATTCTAGCCCCTGGGGTTCTGGCACCAACATCCCCTCCAGAAGGACCAAGACCGCGTGGTCAGCGACGCCGAGATGTCACACATGACGCTCACCAGCCCGGCCAAGGTTGGTGCTTATTGGGTCAGTCACTACCGAACACCATTACCACACTGCAAAAACAGATAGACAAGCAAGACCCTGTGGAGGAATTCAAGCTGACTTTGGGGTAAAAGTTTAGCTCAGTGATATTTGGAGAATTTTAAAAGTCTCAAAAACATTGCATGAATTTCTGTAGTCTATAGAATTTCAAGTGAAATTATCAGATCTTCCCATTTTCGTATCTGCAAAGCAGAATGTATCAGAATACAAGGGATTTATTTCAACCAATTGTTACCGACAACAAACCAAATTTTGCACTCGATCAGCAATAGCTTAATGTGTTACCAGTCAGTTTTGCCCAAAATGTTTTGTTGAGTCAGTAAAACTTGACTCACCAGTAACATGTCCCCGATGTGTAGTCTGAGTCATGAGTTGAGTCATGAGACTCTAGAGACGAGTTTGAGTCATCATCCATTTTAACTTGAAGTTAAGTCTGAGAATTTGCAACTCAGGTCAAACTCAAGTCCAAGTCACAGACTCGGTTCTATATTTCTGCCATACTGGTGTATGGCTATGTTGTTCATGCACTTGCTGAAGAATGAATATACAAACGATTAAGTCAGCAAGAGATAACTTGATTCGTAATTGAAGTCCGAGCTGGAGAGAGAAAAAGCAATGTAATGTGTGTTGTCTGTCAATTTGTTCACTTTGAAATGTAGGTGCTATATGAAATGTCAGTGGCAGTCAACTGTGAGGAAGCCAAGAAACCTGTCTGCAAAAACAAGAACAGATTCCCCAATGCACTTCCATGTACAGGTAAGTTCATTTTGTAGAAGTTAGTATTCAAAAGATTGTTAAGTTGAAAATTGGCCTTTTGAGGCAAACCCTTGTTGGCACACTCACACTGCATTGTGAATTGTTCTAAATTGTAGGGGGCATGGGTGCTAAGGTAGTCTATGTAGTATCCCTTTACACAGCAAGGATCTATGATATGTGAGCAGATTCTGTGATTAATTATGAAAAACAAGACTGCATCTTGACCTCGAGATTCTGACCATTCAGCTGGCACTTTCTATATTGGGTCTTCGGTTATCCTTATCGTGTACATGTATAAGAAGTCCAAGACACGACATCCATTACGCTTTTACATTGTGAATTGTGTCAGCAAAAATAGGCTGTGTCACACGGCCTGTAACGATATGTTATATGATGCGCGAGTGTGACCTTGAATCATCATCACATCATATTTTAAATAACGCGCGTAATGAGAATGCCTTCTGGCACGTTCACGTCTCACCCAAAATGAGCGTTTGCGTATGCTAACAGTTTTGAAAGCCAATGTCGGGTTTTATTTGATCTCTTTGTTCTTTGTTGTATTACAAAAGCATGCCATCAA